AAATATAAGTACCTGGAAATAAATTAGAGAGAAAAAAAGTTCTTTTAAAAAATAAATAAAGACTTCTTTAATTATTACATGTATGTATATATTCAAAGACTGACTTCTAGCTAGATGTGATGGAATGACAGTTTATTTATTAAAAAAAAAAATATATATATATACATATATATATTCCTGTGAAGTAAAAAACAAAAAAAAGTGGCGTAATGAAATATAAGTACCTGGAAATAAATTAGAGAGAAAAAAAGTTCTTTTAAAAAATAAATAAAGACTTCTTTAATTATTACATGTATGTATATATTCATTGGCTCATTTATTTGTTCAGGATTTAGTTAATATGAATATATACAGTATTTGGTTGTTTATTTGTCTGTTTCATACTGAATACAACTGCATTCAATAGAAGTCTGCACTCATCAACTGAAATCTTTATTTATGGTTTTTGTTTTTTTAAATCTCAAAAATGATTATAAAAAATAATTTTATTACATTATAACCGTTTATAGATTCCATAAACATAAACCAGATTTTATATATTTGCATAAATCATGTCTATTGACTGATTTGTGAACGTGCTGAGGCGCGGCGCTGTTGTTACCCTCCGGGCCGCTGGGGGCGCCGCTGTGTCGCTGCTCTGGGATTAAGCAGCAGAAAAAGCGGCTCCAACACGTGTTTTGTCCTCTCGGGGTGCATGTTGTGACCGGCTGGGAGGAATCGGAGCAGAAAACTAGCCAACAATTAAAATAACTACCAAATATCAGCGATTATCGAGCAGATATGACGAAGGTGAAGAAGGAAAAGGCTTCTGCGGACGGAGAGGAGGCCGCAGGAGGGACCGAGAAGTCCTACGAGGAGCTGATCGCTCACCTGAACCCGATTTCTCAACCGCTGGCCTCCAGAAAACTTAGCAAGAAGCTCTACAAATGTGTCAAGAAAGGTAAAAACGACAAAAAGTGTCGCTAACAGCAAAAAAACTTGTTTTGTTTGTGTTTTTTGGAGACTGTGCGAAACTCAGTTCAAAAACAGTCAACTTTAACGATCTCTCGACTGGCACCAGATGTTAGAATTTATGTAGGACGTTGAATGAGACACAGAACGAATCGTTTGACTCTTCTGATTAATTCGGCTTTTTAACTTGTCAATTTAAATATACACAGTTTGAAATTTAATACCTATTTCTGAGACGAGGCCAGACCCTTTGTGTGTCACAAATGAGGGTTTCTACTGTTTCTTTGGAGACAGAGCCAAACTCCGGTTAAAAATTACTGGTATTAACGATCTCTCGTCTAAAACAAGCGGAACAATTAATGTAAGAAGTTAAATGAAACACCGAAGGAATAATTTGACTCTTATGCATAATTCGGCTGTTAAATTCGTCATTTAAATGTTCACATTTGGAACTTAATGCTTATTTTCTGAGGAGAAGCTGCATCTATTTTGCATGTTGTCAGGAAACATTTAAAATGGGTTGTGTTCAGGTTCCTGCGTCCTGCACGTTGCAGAGTGAAAGATGCAGATTAAATGTGGGTTGCTGCTGGATTTAGTTTGAGGGACAACAAACAGAGACCTGAAACATTTCTCGGGGTGTTGTAGATGATCTAAAAATGGCTGATTTCACAATGGAGTCTGGTTTCATGGTGTTCTCTGTGATTGCAGCTGCCAAAGTGAAAAACATCCGGAGAGGAGTGAAAGAAGTTCAGAAGTTCATCAACAAAGGAGAGAAAGGGTGAGTCTGCCTCCATGTTCTCACCTGTTCACAATCTTTAAAGGGCCGCTCTGTCACTTTATGACCACCAAACCATTTCTAAGAGTCGTTGTCATGCTGAATGTTGACACTTCTCATCATCATAAGTAGAGCTGCACAATTAATCAAATTCTAATCACGATATTGGCTTCCTGCGATCAAATTTGCGTGATGAGCGATATTTAAAATGTGTAATGCTGTGTTTACACCAGACGCGATTAAAATCATTTGCGCTAATGATTTACATGTAAAGAAAATGTGAAGACGCAATTAGACGCAAGTAAACGTCCCACAGCGCGACTGATGCGAATTGAGCGAGTTATTCATGCGTATGACGAGATTCTAGACGCGCGTTTGAAGAGCAAGTTGAAAAATCTGAACTTTTGCGATCTGACGCGCCGCGATGGCCAATCAGTGGTGACGTCAACAACATGATTCATTCATTTTTTGCAACTACACTGATTACTGATTGATTTACTCACCTCAGGAGATAAGCAGTTACATTACTGGCCAGGGCAGATCTCAGTGATCAGCAGACTGGCTGTCCCTCTCCTCCAGTTCACACACAAGAATGCTGCTCTTTAACTTAACAAGCTAGCGAGTTCCTAGCTATCGCAATCCTAGCGGGATAAACCTCCGCTGGCTCCTCGTCACTGTGGTCAACCTACTCCTGCTATCGGCCGCTCGTCCATGTTGTTGTATGTGGTACGGAAAAAACATGGCTCTTATGTCAGCGAGCGCCTGTAGTTGGTATCCTGGAGGGATGTCCTGGTACCGATCCTCTCCAACAGGTAGTCAAACTGGGTCCAGATCATCCGAAAACAGCGCTGGAAGCAGCCGTCATCCAGGCGCAGCTCCTGGAGAAGGTGGAGGATTTCCCCGAGCTGTGTGCGTCTCTGTGGAATCCCATGGATTCGGCGTCTGGATCGCGTCAGTCGCGCCAATGACTTGAATTCAGACACAAATCTTGACGCGCGAATGAAGTGAGCAAACTCTGTGCACACATGCGTCCAAATACGCACGTAATGCGTTTGAAGAGCAAGTTGAAAAATCTGACCTTTTGCGATCTGACGTGCCGCGATGGCCAATCAGCGTTAAGATTCTCTGGTGACATCAACATGATTCATTCAGTTTTTTTTTATAACTACATCGTGATTACTGATTGATTTACTTTGGAGTTTTTTTCACATCCAGTTTATAATTTAGTTCAGAAAATATATTTACAGAATGGAAATGGAAGTGCCCTGTTTTGTTGCCTTTTCATTATTCTTTTATTTATCTTTATTTATTTTTTAAGGAGTTGCACTGAAGTTTGGAGAAAAAGAGGAGCTAGTTTATTTTTAAGCACATATTTGCACATGAGCAGGAATGTAGCACAATAATATGGATGTGAAAACAGTTATAATAAGTCTGTCAAACAATAACATTTTTTTGATTAAAATCAACAAGTAATTCTCATAATTAATCGTGATTTCAATATTTATCAACATAATCGTGATTATCATTTTGGCCATCATGGTGCAGCCCTACTCCATGATGCTGCCTCCTCCATGCTTCACTGTGAGAAATACTTTTTGTTTGTTTGTTTTTTGCGCCAAACAAATCTTTCGGCGTTTAAGCTTAAAGGTTTAACTTTGGTTTCGACAGACCATAGCACATAATTTTGGGAGAGTAAATATATTTAGGACGTCCCACTGTCTCCTGAGGCCCGGATGTATGAAGAATCCAACAGATTGTTGTCTTATGTTCAGAGCAACCAGTGACTACCGCTGCAGTTCTTTTACTGTTGCTGTAGTTTTATTTTATTTACACCACAAAAACCTGCCTTTTAATGCGGTGTGCACATTTGTAAACTGTATTTGTGGGTGTTTATTTATTTGTTGGTGTTATCTGGTCGTGTCTCTGCAGCATCGTAGTGTTGGCCGGCGACACGCTGCCCATCGACGTCTACTGCCACCTGCCGATCATGTGCGAGGACAGAAACCTGCCGTACGCCTACGTCCCCTCGAAAGTGGTGAGTCTGCAGCGACCAAAACTGTTCACAGCTCCTACACTGTGTGGAATTGTATTTTAGTCATTTCCAGGTCTGGATAAGTTGGGAAACAGATTTGACTGAATCCAGACATCAGCGACAAATTTGTGTGAAAGAATTGCTGAAATTCACAACATCACAAAATCCAAACACTTGTCTGAACATTCATGAGCATCTACTGAAATTAAATTATTCAATATCTTTTAAAATGTCATTATCGAATGTCTGCTAAAAATAAATGATTAAATATCTACTAAAATTAGCTTGTTACATATCTGCTGAAATTGATTCAGTTTATTAAAAACAGTCGTGACTCGATAATCCGACACTAAATGTAAAACCTTCTTTTATGTCTGATTGTCAAGACAGAGGTTGAGATACAAGGAGGGCTTGATGCTGGAAGGCTCATTTGGTGTTAATTATTGTTTATGGTTGTTATAGTAACTAGTAGGGCTGGTCCCAGTAGCACTCTCTGGTCTCTGGATATTCAGGCCCAATTAATGATGAATATCAGAATATTCGGCGTGGTCGAGGGACACTTCCACCCCGGGGCAGCGCTCTGATGGGCTGGAAGTGGTCAGAGCGCACAGGCAGTACTTGGCTGCTGATGCTAGTTTAGGATAGCGCTCACACTTCTGTTTCCACCATCAGTGGTGGCGACAGCAGCGTCGTTTACTTCCATAAACACTGAGCACGCTCACTGCGTGTGACGTCGTCGTGTCCTCTTCTGCGCTTTTGGGTCGTATGAAGTTCACACAGCAGATCACATACAAGTCACATTTAATTTGAAACGTGAACGAACTCTCAAAAAATCGTATTTCACAAAAAAATCTGAATGTAGCATCAAGTGCTGCAGTGTGAACGTAGCCAGTCTGTGGGATTGTTCAGTCAGATAATACACCGTTATCCTGATTGGTGACATTAAACGTCATGTCGGAGTCAGAATCCATAGCTGTCGGTATGTTAAGGCTGTTTTTAATTTATATTCAAACCTGTCGGATAGGAGGTTTAGGATTGTTAAGGGTCGAATTATCGAGTCACAACTGTATATGCAAAAACTTTCTTATAAATGTCTACTGAAATTAAATGTATTTAAATAACTGCTCAAATCAATTTTTTAAATATCTGCCAAGATTTATTACATATTAACTAAAATATATTTAATTCATTAAGTAGCTATGAGCATGTATTTAATAAATATCTGCTAAAAGTACTGTTTGAATATCTCCCAAAATCTATAATCATCATTAAATGACTGCTCAAATTAATATATGAACTATACACTCATATTAAATGATTAAGTATCTGCTAGAAAGTAATGCATATCTGCAAAAAATATTTAGTCCACATCTGTCAAAATGTATTTCTTATAAATCTTTAAAAATATATATATATATATTTCGAAACTTTATTCAATTTAATAAATATATTAAAATATGCACTCAAAATGTGCACGTCTTCGAAACTTAAATGTCTTTAAATATCTAAGATTTATTAAGTATTGGCTAGAACTTTATAAATCTTGACTAAAATGTCTTTAACTTAATAAATAACTTTTATAATACATTTATTTCTAAACAAACAAACAAACAAACAAACAAATAAACAAATCTGCTGAAATAAATGTATTAAATATCACCTAAAATTAAAATATTAAATTAAATAAATATGAAATATTTGTCACAATTTATTAATATCTGTTAAATGTAATTATTAAATATCTGCTGCAATAAATTTAGTAAATGTATGTTGCCATTAATTTATCTGCAAAAAATAATTATTGAATATTTGATCGTAGTTAAAATATAGAATAACTACCACTTTTTAAAATATCTTCTAAAATGTATTTACTAAATATATGCTAAATGTAAATCATTAAATATTTTAAAATGTATTAATAACTACTGATGTATCATTAATTAAATATCTGCTGAAAATCGTTTTGTTTTGCATCTCAACCTTTGCGTCTGTGTATTGATGTCTGAGTTTTGTCAGTGTCGCCTTTAAGGAGCAGTTTGATCGATGACTTTTATTTTGAAATGTGTCTTCAGGATCTGGGCTCGTCTGCGGGCTCCAAGCGGCCGACCTGCGTCATCCTGATCAAACCTCACGACGAGTATCAGGACGCCTACCAGGAGTGTGTGGACGAGGTGTCCAGCCTGCCCAAGCCGCTCTGAATCAGCCAATCAGACGGCAGCTTGACCTCCTGTAAAGGAGCAGAATGCTGTTTCCCACGCTAACAGTTTCCACCTGTTTCCAGTGTTTGTGCTAAGCTAGGCTAATGACATCCAGGGAGCAGGAGGTTTTAATGGAGGCGTCTGTTGTGTTTATGTTGCACAACGACGTGCGACAAGAACATTTGACCAAGAAGTGTCGCATTATTTTCTTAAAAAAAACACATTAAGTAAAAATAATGTTGATGTTGGAGTTAAACAGAAGGTTTGTTTTTTACTGATCACTGAGGAGTCGTTTGAGTTTGTTGAATACGTTTTTATTCTGTCCTGAAGCAGATGTTTTTTTGTAATTAAATGACGTGTGAACAGACTGGACGTGTCAAAGTGTTTCTCTGTCGTCACATTAAAGGAGCAGTTTGTGTTTTTAGGAAATCCTCGTCTTTATGAAACTTGAAGCTGAGTCTCCATTGGTCGTCATGGTAACGACATCATGACGCCATGTTTGTTCCTTTTTTTTTAAAAGTATGTATTTATCAAATATTAGCTAACGTTTAATTTGTTAAATGTCTTCTAGATTTTATTGAATAAATGCTACTAATTCTTAAAAATGTCTTAAATATCTGGAATTTATTCATAGTGTCTGCTAAACGTGATCGAATTCGTTTAAAAGAATTCTTACATTTCTAACACTTATTAAATACATTTTTAATATAATGATTTTTAAAATGGAAACTTTGTAATCAAATCAATTCCACATATCATCCATTCTTGTATTGCGCTTAAAACGTATTAAAGACCTGTTTAATGTAGTTTAAAAAATATTTGCAAAAAATTATATATTCAATTTTGTCCGTGGCCTGATCAAACCTCACGATGAGGTTCACCAACACTGTGTAAGAAAATTCCATTTTTCCCCCACACGGGATGCAACTGAAGATGTCCAGCAGGGGTAGCAGAGACACCAACCTAACTCTGGTGGTCATACAGGTGAAGCAGGGACAACACCAGAGGGCTGTACTACGAAGCAGGTTTGACATAGCCAGGATTTCTCTGTGTAAGCCGGCTCAGCAAAACCAAAAGCCCCAGCCAGAGATAACGGGTATAATCAAGATAGTTTTCAAATTTCTTTGTCAACTCAGACTTTCCGCTTCAGACTCTGTTCACATAAAAGGAGGCGTTCAACACGTCACGTGACTCTTCTGCACTAAATGAATCAATCGTGTTCAGTTGCTTCAGTCAACACGTTGTTCTAATGAAGAACAATGAGGAAGATAAAAAAGAAATATGACAGTAAAAAGTGCTGCTGCTGCAAATGGTGCAAGACAGGANGTCTCTAAGTGTAGCCCTGTGATAGACTGGTGACCTGTCCAGGTGAACCTGCCTTCACCCTGAGTCAGCTGGGATAGACTCCAGCCCCCCATGACCCTAATGAGGATTAAGGTGTATAGATGATGGATGGATGGATGGATGGATTTTAAGTTTTCAGCTTAGCTTTAACACTAAACTTTTTATAATGGATTTGGTTTGATAAAGGTCCATTCTAGGAATGTCACTAATGATTATTTTCATTCTCAGCTATTTTCTGGATTAATTAATTTGTTTTTGTTGTTTATTTGCATTAACGCAGGGCAGAAAACCTTCATCTGACCATGATGTGACTCTGGTTTCTGGCAGTAATAATGTGGTTTAGTGTTACAACTGATGTTAATATTTAGCTTCAATTAATCGCTCAGTTATTTTCTTGATGTAGTGATACAGTATATATACTGCAGTAAAATGTAGAACGTTCAAAATGTGATGGAGAAGAAGTAAAAAGTGATTTAAACTGCATTCTGAATAGTAGAAAAGTGCATAAGACCATGAGTGAATACACTCACCAGGCTCCATTTAAAGATCAATTAAGTGAGAAAACAACTCAAATAAGACAAGATTATCTGCATTTGACTGACTTAAATGTTAATTAGAATTGAGTATGAGAATTTTATGAGTCTGGAATCAGAAAATTTTGACGCATGTTTCTTTAAAAATCTCTCAAACTGACGATTATTTCAATATTCAACAACCAATCGATCGACTGAACGTTTCAGCTCAAATGACAAAGAAGTTAAAATGTGAACGAGCCACTCACATTTTGTCGAGTCGCCTCCATCTTCTAGCTGCAGAGACACAAAAACAGGAGAAGCGTGAATGCAGAGAGAAGTTTACTGTTTAGAGCTGCTTTCATTCACATTCAGGACGTTTTAAACAGAGAAAAATTAAAATCAGTGAAGCAAGACGACGAGTTCCTGTGTGCAAAACCAACAACACCAAACCTGCAACTATTTCCACAACTAATAGTTTCATTTAATAATTTCAATTTCATAGCCATTTTTGTCTCTGAAGAACTTTCAAATGTGCTGGCTTTATACAGACACGAAGCACGGCAACAAAAATTGTCTTCTAATAAAAAACCCGACCTTCATTAGTGGATCACTGGTACCAGTATGACCCAATACTCAAAATTTCTTATGTATTTTTATGGAACCAATCAATTTTAAGTTTTTAATGACTTTTTTTTCGGATTTGTTTAGTACTTTGGCTGTGACTGTATGAAAAGTAATTGCACTTGAAGACCTGAGAGTGATTCTTAATGCAACATTTCACACATATATGGGGTGNTACCATGGAGATCTAGCTCCACAGCATCAGCTACCATGGAGATCTAGCAGGTAAAAAGAGAGCCACCTTCGTGACACTGAAAACTATGATTTAACCTCAACATACCTCGCTAACCCATTAATCTCGCTTCGTAGGGCAGCCCTCAGAGCGCAAAACAGCCTGTAAACACAACAACAACACACTGACTGAATCGACCCATATTTGAATGGAGTTTGGTGTGGACAAGCCTTAGTTTGTTATGAGAGTGAAACGTCCGTTGCGTACACTCTTTCATGTCGTGGCAGCAGTCGCAGATCCCTGACGACCAATCACCTTCCTCGTTGGAAGCGTGCATCGCCTCAGGCTGCATGGACACCGGCCAGCTCATCCTCCACCTGAAGCTGCTTCACTCAGTCCAGCCTGACGGAAGTTAAATTAGCCATAATGTGAAAGGAGTTTGGTGCAGATTCATATTGTCCTACATGTAAACAGTAAAATATTTAAATTGGACTTTGGTATGGATTTATTATAGCTGCTTATAAAAAAAGACACGTCAAAATCGATTATTATTACTTCAGACATGGAGACTGATGTTAAATGAGTAAATATTTGAATAGAGTTTGGTGCAGTCAGAAAATACATGAAAGGAAATGCAATAATATTCTACAAGTAAACTGACTAAACAGGCAAATATTTGAATGGATTTTGGTGAAGACTGTTATTAGGTAGTCAGGAAATAATTCTGAACCTTAGTGTGGATTCTCAGCTGCTGCTCAGGAAATACATAAAAGCCACAACAGCTACAGTCATTTACAGTTAACGCTGCTGGAAACCATTACACAACATCACAGGTGCCTGAACAAACAACTGCCAGTAACTAAACAAAGAAACAAAACCAAATAAAAAGCCTGCTGAGGTTGAATCAATCAAGGTTGCAAACTCAGTTGTCTCTGTTAGTTGATTTAAATTTAGGTTTGGATAACGTAATGAAATTAGCTTGATAACTAAGTTTTTCTTCATCTTGAGGTCAGCATTTACAGTCGCCCACTTGTGTTTGTAATTATGGGGAAAAAAATCATATCATTAAAAAGGTTGAAACAACTTCATTTTTCATCTTAAAAATATGTTTATGCTGCCACTCATTAAGTAAATAAAAAATCCAGATTTATGCAACTTATGGTCATCCACGTCGCTGTCCGCTGTCGTCGAACTAGAATAAAGACAAAATGGCCGCCTCCAGAACTCTGCATGGCGGCTTTAGAACCCTCTGATTGGACGTTTCCCAGAGCAGCGCTCTCTGGGGTTTGTGGTCGACATCTCTCCTGACGTTCTCCTCGTTTTCACAGTTTGTTCTGACTTTCACGTCCATGTTTGCAGTTCGTTGTCAGCCCATCTCCAGTGGGCGGAGCTTAAGGGACAGTACTCGTAGTTGGCGATCTGGTAGATCTTCTCCACCGCTGAGCCTCGACTGTGGAGCTGCAGGGTGGACGAAGTCGAACTGAACTGGACCGAAGTGCTGATCTGCCGCTGAGGACTGAGACAGAACAAAACATGGAAACTTATTTAACGTGTGATGGACCAGCTAGAAGGTATTTGTTCCCAAAAACGTTCTGGAAAAGTTCTGCAAAGTTCTGCAAAGTTCTGCTAACATTGTCAGCGGAAAGTTTTCTTTTATAATGTTTCTATTAAAGGTCTGACAACTAAAGACGTTCTAAAAATGTTTGGTGATAACATTGTTAGACCGTTAACGTTCTCAAAACTGAATGTTCCACTGAGAACGTTCCACTTTTGTTATTGTGTAAAACTGTGGAACATTGTGGGAACGTTTTATAAAGTCTTTAATGTGTTCCCACAAGAACATACCCAAAACATCCTGAGGACATTGCAGGCAGAACGTTCCATCATTGTTAATATATCACACTACAGGAACGTCTTATAAAGAACGTTCTGTCATCTGAGGTCTCGATAACATCTGGAAAACTGTTTTTGAATGTTGCATTGAGAACGTTCCTCCTTTCTTTTAACGGGACGTAATCTGTGTTCCTGACGTCCTCTGACTTTTAACAGTGAAACATTACATTAACTTTAAAGGAACATTACTGGAAATGAAAATGTTCTCACAATGTTCCTGGAACATATGAAAAAAAACAAACATTCCCTTTAACACATTCTTAGAACTTGTCGGTGATGTCAGCGATGGTTGTGGGAACGTTTCCTGCCAGCTGGGTAGAAGATGGATTTTGATAACTGATGGTTTTTGTTGTTTTCGAGCTAAAATAGTGAAACAAAGTGAATCATTTTCTGATTCCAGCCTCTCAGATGAGATGATTCGCTGCTTTTCTTTGACACATTTTAGTATGAACTGAATATTTTTGCAAAAAGTGAGCCTTACACCATTGGGTTTGTTGGGTTCTTCAAATGTACAAGCATCAAACCTTTTGAAACGGTTCAAGAACAAACCGCAGAGCTTCCGTTTACAACTCGATGAGCTTTTAAAGGTCACCTCATGTCGCTCTGAGCCATCGTTGGACTGAAGGTGGTTCTTGTCACTAACATGCTGCTCTGAAACTGTTCAATGGAAACTTGTCGTGTGGTTTGTGGTTTGGGAGGTCTTCTCTCATCGCTGAGTTTCAGTCTGAAACCGTCAGCAGAAGGAAGCCGATCGACTTAAACCTAAAGCCGCCTGAAGGGAGTTTACCCAGAAAACATAAAGAAAAGGACTGCAGCTCACGATTACCTTTACTGCACATGGATTTGATTAATTGATAGTTTGGTTTACAAAATGTCAGAAAAAGATTTTTAAAAATATCAAACAGTGATTCAAAGTCGAGCTGTAAGGTGGCGCAGTGGTTAACATGGTTTGCGTCTCGGTGAGGGTACTGGGATCTTTCTGCGTGGAGTTTGCATGTTCTCCCCGTGCAGCGTGGGTTCTCTCCAGGTTCTCCGGCTTTCTCCCACACAGTCCAATAACATGTTGAGGTTAATTGATCTAAATTGTCCGTAGGTGTGAATGTGAGTGTGCTTGGTTGTCTGTCTCTAAGTGTAGCCCTGTGATAGACTGGTGACCTGTCCAGGTGAACCT